ACAAAAACCAAATGAAAACCACAAACAAAACCTAAAACAAAACCCAAAAATACCCACAGAACTAAAACTCCTAGTCTAAGTTCTGGCCAGCTCAAAATCTTCAGCAAGTTACAGCATATCATAGAAGTACTTGTCATTTTAAATAATGTATGGTCCTATTTGCAAGTGGCAGGAGGGTCATTTTTTGTGCACAGTGAAAACAATAGCACATAATAAAGAAGATAAAGATTTGCAATAACAACACAGTTGCCTCTGGCTGCTACAGGAGTCCTGTTTTTATGAATTAGCTATTACATTGTGTCTGTTTATTGAACGTCTCCAACAATGTTTGAAATTGTGCAGATCTTGTGGTGAAACATGACTTCTGTCCAAGGAACTTCTGAAAGTCCTCTGCTTTTCCAGCCCACTGAAGTAGAAGTGCCATGGGTGCAACAGAACAGTGATTTGTCCCTGCAGAAATGAGCGCTGCATTTCCAGAATGCTTTTTAGTGTATCAGTAGCCATTTACACTTTCAATAGTAGTGTTGTTTAAGAAATATTGATAGTCTCAGAAACTCATCAGCAGAAAAAAACAGCTTGTAGGTCTTAATAGCCTGTGTGTCAAATATAAAGCCCCCATTAGCTTCAGCAGCGCTGAAAAAAGCACCTGAATGACTGCAGGCTGATAGCTACCAAAAAGTATGGCATTCTTAAGACCTTTGTTCTGAATTAAATGAGTTAGTATTTTACCTGGTGTCTAGAGAGACAATGCCTGAGAGGCAGTGCCTTTATATTTGACCTCTGTCCTTAGGGCTTTCTCAAAAAAAAGATGTAAGATAGGAAAAGGTACAGAAAGACTATCCTTTTTCACCTACACATCACCTCACAGAAATATATCTGAGATGCATTAAAGAGATAATGTAAAGAAAATGTTTCTGATTTTGCTATATCTGTTTTGTGGGTTTCTAACATTTTTTAGGAATCTAAGATTTAGAGAAATTATTTTGTGTTTTTTAAAAAAGTAACCTTTTTCAGGTGTTAAAGGTTATATCTGCTAAACCACGAATTTAATGCTAAGCCTCATAATGCTGCTAGCAGAATAAGACTTTGCTTTAGATTATCTGTAACTATCAAATAACTGACTAAACTAAAAATTGTGCAGACATTTATAATGAAGCAGACTCATTTAAATCACCTTGATAATTTCAAGGGCTCTGCATTTTATTAAGAAATACCATCATTTTCATAGCTTTTCTTCCAAAAAGGATTGTGAAGATGTTTTCTTTCTCCCATTATGTATATTTTTGATGTTTAGATAGAGCAAGAAGCAGCATGGTCTCTACAGAAAGTGCCTCCTCAACATACGAAGAGCTAGCGAGAGCGTATGAGCACGCAAAAATGGAAGAGCAGCTGAGGCATGCAAAGTTCACCATTACAGAATGCTTCATATCAGACACATCATCGGAGCAGCTCACGGCAGGGACTAATGACTACACAGACAGCCTGACCTCAAGCACGCCGTCAGAGTCGGGGATTTGCAGGTTTACTGCATCCCCTCCCAAACCTCAGGATGGAGGGCGAGTGATGAACATGGCAGTTCCAAAGGCACATCGACCAGGTGAGACATTAGAGGTAACATTTTGGACCTTGGGATGAGCATTTCACCCCATGCCTAGGCTGGTTAACAGGAGCGGGTATAAGGAAGAAAGAAAGTGCACAATATATCCGGTAACTACTCACAGAGATAATTGCTTTTTGTCCCAGCTAATATAAGATATGCATATATTTTCCCACATACAGAAAAATTAGGAACTTGAAAACTTAGGAACAGAAGGGGACTGTCTAGGCCATCAAATCCACTCTTTTACTGCTGTAGCCATCAGGCAATAGACCCTTCTGGGATAAATAAGACCATATGTGGGTACATATGCCCATCTCCAACTCAAACCACCCACCAATAAAACGTGTCTTACAGCAATACTTTGCTCTTGAGAGCAAAGGTTTATTATTGGAATAGTTCACAAAGACAAATTGTAAAAGATGTACCACCCCTTCTGCCTAGTAAGCTACAAGGTGTAATAACCCTTCAGTTCTTGAGCTGTTATACTCACCTTTGACTTCTCCTAATATCAAACTAGGATTATCTAAAGCGGGGAGAACAAAAAAATAGAGAAAATTGAGACAGTGCAATAGCTCAAGGAATATGGAGCCTTCTACCTTCAGACAAATTTAAAATCATTCCAACTTCTTAGTGACTGAAGGTGCCTGAGGAACGTCCATGTATCGGGCTCAATCAAATTTCCAGTTCACAAATAATGGTGTTTCTAGTGATATCCTGGTACAGAATAGCATAGGTAGATTATCTGTGGTACTCTGAGATCAAATACATTATAAAATCTTCTCAAAAGATTTGTCAGGCTTTGTTACAGAATACATGATGTCACATTGTGAAGGAAGATTCAAATGGGAAAAAGGCATGATTATATTTGTGTGCTTTTTGAAAACATTTAGTTTAGTTTAGTTTAGTTTAGTTTAGTTTAATTTTAATGTTTACCAGTGTGGGTAGAGCTACTTATATACAAAGAAAGTAATCAGTAGTGCTTATGTATGTAAAAAAGAGTAGTGAATAAACTATAGTCTTTTGCTTAATATACACCATAAATGGAGGGATGAGGAATGGAAGATGGACAGTGGTATAAGGAAAGTCATTCAAAAGTAGGACATGACACTGAAAAGAAATAATAAAGTGTTTTGCTAGAGAAGGCTAAAAGAATATGTAAAGAAAAAGACCAAGCAGAGGTAGAAAGTTATAATACACAAGGCAGGAAATTAGTGTATCATACATACAGATAAGAGGGAAAATAAGTAGGAAATAGAACAGTGAGAGAAATTACTGATTTCTATGTAGTCATAGAGTAGAACCACAAACCCAGGAGATGTAGAAATAGATAAAGATAGAAATACTTTTCATTTCTAACTCAAAAAAAGTAAGATAAATATTTGCCCTTCCTCTGCTGAAGGGAAGCATCTGTATTCTCAGCTACACAGAAAATTGCGGCTCTCATTTTCCAGTCAGTCAAAAAGCATTTTTTATAATTTCTTTAACTAATAGCTTACTCTCTTTCTTTTATGTTCCAAATACATTATTTATGCATATTTAGTATTTGGAAATGTTCTAATATATTCCATATAGAGATTAGTTTCTTGAGGGCATACAGCACCAAATTTTGGTCACTGTGCATGTGTTAAAAGCTTCCCATGTTGGAACATCATATGATCCCCTCTGGTGAATTACAGACTGGTAGTTATTTTTAGCTCCATTAGTTTAAATGGCTTGAATTATTACCTGCTTTTCTTGATTAGCTTTAGCTTTCCTTCACAGTCAAGAAATGAAATATATTGTGAAATTAATAATTAGCTTCAATACCTTGAAAAAAATTGAGTATTCCAGTGGAGCAGCTTGAATGTTGGACCATAAATATTGAGTGATATGTTATTAAAGGTTACTTTATGAAGGGCTTTAAACAAAACATATGGGTAGAAAGAATTTCCAGTAGTAGCAGCAGATATTTTCAGTGTTCAAATCATCAAGGAAAGACTTACTGGACATCTTTCTTCTTTCACCCACCATTTCAGAAAATCTGTGGAAGTAATTAATAATTCAAATGCAATTATTCAAAAGACATTTTAAAACTAATCTACCCAATGGCAAAGCTACAACTTTACTGAAGAAAGATAATGGAGTTTACTGGTGAAGATTTAGTTAGCCATAACTGACTCAGTTACTATAGTACTTAGCTTGTTGCTACCATAAGTGTTGATATGAGGAAGTAAAATACATTAGACCACCTGAGGCCTGGCTTTAGAAGAACTTCCTGTGAGTTTCTAAGGGCATCCCAACTCATGTCACTGTTCACTTGCTTCTTGAGCATCTCATAGGAGTCTTTTGTAGCTGTATAGTCAAACCATCTGCCTGCTGGTCAAATCATCTGCTTATCCAATAGTTTTGAGACCTCAGTATTGCTCCAAACTGAGATGGTTAATGATTAGGAGTAGGGAACCTGAACGCTTTTTGATTAAAGGAGGAAAAAGGGGTGTTCAAGATTCAGCGACTTGTATTCTGGGGGCTGACATCAGCATGCTGTGGCATTCCCAACTTCCATACCATTTTCATTCAGAAATTGAATCAAAACATTTGATCACCCCAGCAGCTTGAATTATATTTGGATGGCTCATCAGATGTCTAGGCAAGCTTAGTAATTGATCATTTCTAGCACTAGAGCTATGAATTAGGACTGTTTTTTCAGAATTTCTACACATTATGTACAACTATAACTCTGCAATTAGTAATGTGTAATAGTTGATTGCTTCATATTCTAGCCCACTGTAAGTCTTCTAATAGGCTTTTTTCCCTTCCAGTCAGCTGGTACTGCAGATGCACACGCACAACAGCAGACAAAACTGCTTCTGACTTCTGGATTTATACATCTTTTTCCTGACATTTAGTTTACAGAAATAAAAATCAGCTTTATGAAGTCAGCTCAGACCTGGGAGCTAAAAATACAAGGATTTTGCCAGAAGCAATAACTTTGCAATGAAAAATAGTGGAATCATAATTATACCTGATGTCATTGTGAATAGCAAATAACAAAACAAAGTAATTTTGTCATACTGAATCTAAGACATGTGCTGAGACTTCTGAATGATTTGGATATTTGTCATGGTTATTCTTTTAGGCTGACAAATGTGTTATGCTGTAGTACACATCTCTACATTTCAGTTGAATTTATTCCATCACAGGATCACAGAATGTTTGAGGGTAGAAGGGACCTCTGGAGGTCATTTGGTCTAACTCCCCCTGCTCAAGCAGGGCCAGTTTGGTAGTTTGTTCAGAACCATGTCCTCATGAGTTTTGAGTATCTCCAAGGGTGCAAGCTTCACAACCTTTCCGGGTTTCTGTGCTCACTCACCCTCACAGTAAATAAATGTTTCCTGATGTTCAGTCAGAGCCTCCTGTATAACAGGTTTTGCCCATTGCCTCTTGTCCTGTCACTGGGCACCGCTAAAAGTAGTCTAGCTCCATCCTCTTTGCACCTTCCCTTTGGGTATTTATATACATTGATGAGATACCCCACCAAGCCTTCTCTTCCCCAGGCTGAACAGTCTCAGCTCTCTCAGCGTTTCCTCATATGAGAGATGCTCCAGTTCCTTAATCATCTCAGTGGCCCTTGGCTGGACTCTCCCCATGTCTTTCATGTACTGTTGAGCCCAGTGCTGGACACAGTACTCCAGGTGTGGCCTCACCAATGCTGAAGGAAACATCTTGACATGCTGGCAACACTCCTATTGTAACCCAGGTTTCAATTGTCCTTCTTCGTCATAATGGCACATCACTGCTTCATAGATTCATAGAATGTTTAGGGTTGGAAAGGACCTTAAGATCATCTAGCTCCAACCACCTACCATATGCAAGAATGTCTCACACTAGACCATGTCACCCAAGGCTCTGTCCAACCTGGCCTTCATGTTCAACTTGATGCCCAACAGGACCCCAGGGCCTTTTCTGCAAAGCTGCTTTCAAGCTGGCTGGCCCCCAGCACATACACAGTGGGTACACACCCCCCAGCACAGGGGGTTGTTCCTCCACAGGAACTTTGCACTTCCCCTTGTTGATCTGCATGAGGTTTGTGCTGGCCTATCTCTCCAGGCTGGCAAAGTTCCTCTGGACAACAACATGACACTCTGGCATATCAACCATGCCTCCTGGTTTTATGTCATCAGCAAACTTGCTGAAGGTGTGCTCTGTCCCATCATACAGATCATTATTGAAGGTCTTGAACAGGATTGGACTCAATATTGATCCCCGGTATACACCACCGGTTACTGGCCTCCAGTAGACTTTTTTCCGCTGAATATCCCCTAGATTAGCTGTTCAGCCAGTTTTCAATCCACCTCACTGTCTGCTGATCCTGCCCATAATTCATCAGATTCTCTATGAGGATCTTACCAGAGACAGTGTGGAATCCCTTACTGAGATCAAGGTCGACAATATTCACTAACTTCCACTAACCTACCAAGCCATTCATTTCATCACAGCAGGTTATCAGGTTGGTCAAGCATGACTTCCCCTTGGTGAATCCATGCTGACTACTCCTGATCACGATCTTGTTCTTCATGTGCCTGAAAATGTTTTCCAGGATTAGCTGCTCCCTCACCCTCCCAGGGATAGAGATGAGGCTGGGTGGCATATAGGTTCCTGGGCCCTCTTTCTCGTTCTTTTTGAAGATAAGAGTGACATTTGCATTCTTCAAGTCTTTAGACACTTCTTCCAACCACCATGGTCAATCAAAGATTATTGAGAGTGGCCTCGCAGTGGCATCTTCCAGTTCCCTCAGCAATTTTAAGTGTATTCCATCAAGGCCCATGGATTCACGTATGTCTAATTTGCATATGTCAAGTATTCTCTGACCTGATCCTTTACCACCAAGGGTATGTCTTCCTTGCTTCAGACTCTTCTACTGATCTCTGCTCACTGAGCTTGGAGGAGTTGTTCCTTGAATATCAATAAACTTTCTTAGACATGATGCTACTTCAAGTTCACTGTACAAGCAGTGGTAG